GATAAAAAATATCCAGTCTATCAGCTGAAATCTTCCGCTGTACAGGACTGGGACTCACACAGCATATCGGCTGTTCCAGTCTACAAGTGCTCCCTCCAAGATCAGAAACCTCCTGTCTGACCCAGCTCTGCCAGAGCTTTCACACCCCCAAGGAAGGAAGAGTTGTGCGTTTTTAAGGCTCTCCACAAAAGGGTGACTGAAAGATCTGTTCTCCAGTGCTATTTCCAGCTTATTGGAATGCCTGGTGGAACCGTGGCAGCGTGGTTGTGCTCAAGCTGGAGGTGAAGACGGGGGGCAGTGAATGAAGGGGCCCAAAGTTCAGTGAGGCCCCAGCTCCGGGAGACTCTTGAGGTTGATGTTGCAAAGTGGTGAGCAGTGGCTGCGCCTCCCCCTGCGAGTAGCCCATGACCAATCCCCCCGATGAGACAGGTGGATTGCAAGGAGGAAGATTTAGGGGGAGGAAGCCAAGAAGATGAGAAAAGTCCATGTTAGCAGCACAGAGAGCCTCTGAGAGGTTAGCAGGGCTCTTGGAAAGCAAAGCCTCATCCAGGGCAGGTGGCTGAGGCGAAGAGGACTGAGGATCACCAGATGAGAGAGACAGGCTGCCAGGGAAGTCTGACAAAAAGCTGTCCACCTCTACTTTGGGTAGCTTCTCAGGCAAATATGAGGTAGATCCAAGCTGATACTTTGGAGGAGGTTGCGATGGGGAGGAGATGGGAGAAGAAGACTCCAGAGGATAGCTCATTCCCATTGGAAGAGAATTAGGAACCAAAGAATGGGGCATCCCTGAGCTTGGCATGGTTTGGAGATGTGTGCTGTACATGCCCACGGGCAGCATGCCAGGGAAACTCTTACCACCCATCATGTCTCTGGATGCCATACACAGGACAGGACTCAGCTCTTCCTTCACTGCCACAGAGGAGCTGCAGCTGAGCAGACCCAACATGTCCACTGGCTCCGTCTTAATCTTCAGCAGTTCCTGGGAGTGGCTTTTCTTCATGTGCCTGGTCAGGTGGTCTTTCCTCCCAAACCTCTGAGCACAGTACTGGCACAAGAAGTCCTTCCGCCCCGTGTGCACTACCAGGTGTCTCCGCACGTCTTTCCGGGTGTAGAAGCGCCGATCGCAGTGGTCACATGGATGCTTCTTTTCCTTCGCCCCGCCTGAAGCCCGCCTGGAATGAGCTTTGAGGTGCTCCAGCAGGACCTGGGTGCTCTCAAAGGTCTGGAGGCACACCTTGCAGCTGAGGTCACCGCTGGCAGCCGCATGCATGGCCAGGTGTCGCCTGAAGCCCAGTTTGGTGTTGTAGTTCTTGCCGCACTCGGGACAGTGCAGGGCCTCCTTGTTGGGATCGTGGGTCTGCAGGTGGTTCCGAAGGTGATCCTTCCGGTGAAACATCTTCTCGCAGTACATGCACTGGTGAGGCTTCTGAGCAGAGTGCGTGGCCATATGCCTTAGGTGAGAAAAGCAGGAAAGGTCAGACAAACATCCAGCCCCTGAGGGAACACAGGCTAGTTTTCCAAAATGTTCCTTGTGTCCTACACTTTATGCTACAAAAATCCCAGATGGCATTTTATCTCCACTAAACAAGGAGCACAGGAGCACAATGCTTCAGGCAAAACCTACAGTCTGTCCCAGCAGCTGTCTCTCCTCAGCTCCTGCTCTTTGCTGAGGCTGCCAAAGAAAACCTCCCTAGTTTGTGACATTAGCAGAAAATTTCAGTTCATCAGGAGGGTCAGGCTGTGCCCAAGTCTGCTTACAGCCACTGTGGTCTGATTTCACCTTGGTATCTCATACTCTCCCACACTGTGGTTCATCTGATTTCAAGTTCTCAGCCGTCACTGTTTAATTATTTTGTGTTGTACTTTACTACATAAATGGGAACTCTACTTCTCCATACTGGAGCAAAAGCTGTCATGGAATTATCCCTGTGATTAGAGGCAAGACTTATGAATGCAAACACTATTCTTGCTTTTCATTTTGTTTTTCAATCTATGAACTTCACTTTCTGTTCCTATTTCCTCCTCAGTGAAACAGAAAACACCTCGAGCTCAGGACACAGCATTAGCTGAAGTTCTCTGGAAGGTGCCTAAAGAGATGCCAAGTATGGTAATGTCTGGGACTCAACAGCTTTGCAAGGTAAAAGGGCATTTCCCCTCCTCCAACTTCTCAGAAATTCAAGCAAAGACACACGAGGGAGGGGGTTTCCCCTCTCTCCTGGCACTGCTGGGCAGAGGCACTTGCAGATACCTACCTATAGAGCTTGTACTTGGAGGCAAAGGCCTTGCCACAGTGCAGCTGGGGGCAGTTGTAGGGCCTCTGCTCCGAATGGGGAAGTGTGTGAGTTCTCAGCTTGTCCACGTGAGGGAAGGAGGGCTCTGATAGTTCACACTGGCATTTTCCCTGACTTTCGGTCTCTTCACCTCTTGGTCTGGGGACTAATTTCCAGCCTGTCTCTTCCTCCTCCTGCTTTGCATCTTGAATCCAGTTGGGAACACTGGGAAAAAATGCCGTCATGGCAGGTCTAGTAGAACATGGCCATGTCAAGCAGAACTCGAGCCCGTGGGCGTCTCGCTGTGATGTTGTCCCGGTGCCGTTTTCTGTTGGAGACCCCTGTGACCAAACTGCTTTAACAGCAAAACTTCTTCATCTGCAATCACAGAAGGCTGGTGTTAAGACACTGCATCCTTCACCCATGTACACAATGAATATGTGAAGATGCGTGTTCCCAGACATGGGGAACTCCAATCAACAATATTTTTCTCTTCCCTGAATAAAATTATGTTAAACTTTTTCTGAACTGCATTTTTTTGCAACTATTAAGAGCTAGTGTTACCTGTTGGATGTATTTTCTCATGAAATATCATAAAAGGTGTCCATTTGTAGCTCTAAATACCTTTCCTTGCGTGTTTTGCAGATCACTTCTCATCCAGTTTTTCATATTCTCAATTGCTCTTGGTCTCTGCTTAAAAGGAATTCCCTCAGAAATTCTCAGAGAAACCAAGGTGCTCTTGTATTTCTTTTTCTCATCCTTTCTGCTACCAACCTAGTGCACTGGGCAAGACCATCTCCAGAGCGAATCAATCTGAACCCCCACATGTGGCTGAACAGGGCTGAGGAATTATCGTCAACACCACACCTTTTTCTGGAAGGCAACGGATGCTGCTCCTCTTCAGGGTGGGATTACTCACTGTATTTTCATTTTTCGATTGTGAGGCAGATTCTGCCTCTCTGGATCAGCAAGTTTTCTACTGTAATGAGCAATTTTTAACCTTTTTTTTTACTTTGACACTCTCATCCATTAATAATGGAAGCTCAGACTGTTTCCTGTTCAACAGAATACATCTCCTGTAAGCTCTTCTGGCTTTCATGTTGACGAGGTTCTACATTAATCTCCCTTAGCAGGCTTTTCTTGAGTTGTGTGTTGGTGAAGTAAAATGTTTTTATAGGTTTCTACCGCCAGCTCGACTGGTAAACGGTCAGCTGAAATAAAACCGATATCTTTCACTCAATTTGGCTGCCTGAGAAACTCCTCTTAAAATAGCATCAAACTCTCACTCCATGATTGCTTCAGAGGAGGAACTTCCTGCTGCACATTAACATGAGTGTGAGTTGTGGGCAGGATGTGCAACTGCGAGGGAACAAACCAACCCCCAAGAAAGTGCTCAAGGAACGTTATGAAGAGCTGAATTAACAATTGCTGTGACTGCACTATCACCCCAAATAACCATGGATGGTTCCCTCAAGGTGGAAAACACTAAGAAACAGGATCACTCCAAGAAAACATGTCACTGTGAGCTTTGGGAATGCCTGTTAAGAACACAACTTGGTTTTATGCAGGCTAAATTTACGTGGTCAGAGAAGAACAATAAAGGACCAGAACTGCTGAGGTGCCACTTTGGGACAAACCAGCGTGATGTGACAGCTGCTCTGACCCCTCAGGGTGCAGGAAGCCAGTGGTTTAGAGCAGTCTGTCTTTCTGGGTGCTAAAAGCATGAATATTTCACCTCTCTATGAAATATGTCCCAGAAAAGATTAAGTGTTCTCTACCTCTTGCTCCAGAGCTGTGCAGGTGTCCCAGGAGTCTCCACCACTTTCACCAGGGAGCTGCTCCTTTCCCTCCGAAAAAGCCCGGCCATCTGGGCCAGTTTCAAAGCTACCTGGAAGAAGACAAGAGTTTGAATTTTGACGTTTTTAATAGTAAGGCGCATAAACGATCACACTGGAATTTTAGGGAATTCAGAGGTGCTGTTGCAACCGCTGGCAAACGGCAACGGAGGTGCCGGGGGGTGGCCGCGAGGGGCAACTCGCTCCTCCCTCCGGCACCTCCGCCGTGTGCCTCGGAAGCCAGCCGGGAGACCCCCACCCCCGGGAGCGCTCCGTGGATCATGCAGCCCCGGTGGAGCGGGATCACACATCCCGCCCCCCGCTCCGCAGCCCTGAGGGGAGGGAGGCGGGCCCGGCCTACGCCCCCCCCTCCACCCCGCATCCTCCTCCTCCTCCTCACACGCCTCCCCTGTCCCCTGAGGGGACCCCGCCACCGAGGGGAGGGCACGGCCGTGCCACCGCCCCTCGCTGCGGTGCCGCCCCCCTCCCTCGCCCCCCCGCGCTCACCCCGTTCCCCCGGGTCCCGCCAAGCGCGGCTCCGGTCCCGGCCCCGGCGGCGCCATTGCGCGGGGCCTTGTGGGAGTGACGTCACGCCTCGGTGGTGGCCGCCAGAGCGGCGCGCCGCGGGGCATGACGGGATGGTGGCGCCGGGCTCTGGCCGCCGACGAGCCGCCATGGCCGTGCCGCCGGTCCCGGTGCTCCTCGTCCTCCTCCTGCTCCTCCCGGTGATGGCGGCGGGAGGCGG